TATCATTTCCTTCTTGAGCTTAGTCTGTGGGTGGGTGTGCTAGCGGCGATGTGCTGCAGTGATTTCTGTTGTAGGCAGCGGCAGCTGAGGGCTTTGCACACACCTCATGCAAGTGATGGTATCTCAAGGACCCAGGCCCAGGTTGGGGTCACAGCGTCCTTTTGCTTCCATCTCCGTGAGAAGATTTTGGGACAGCAGCTTAGCTTCTCCTGGCTCACTGGGTTCTATCCCAATTCTACAAAAAGCAAGAATTGCTTTTTGGCTGCTCTCCTTTTATAAGCAAGAAGGAGGTAGGTTCCTGGAAAGGCCCATCCTGTGAGAAAGAGTGCCAGGAGCTGTGGATTGTGGTATTACATTTGCTAGACTTAACTCCATTTTCATCAATAGATCAAACATTGTACTCCATTCATCTCCATAAGTGTAGATCTTTTAGACCCAGAAGGAGGGTTTTTTTTTTCAGTCTTTTAAAAATAACCTTCTCCACAACTCTACTAGAAAGATCAGTATTTTATAATGGTAGTGTCTACACATCTACATTGCCATTTCAGTTCATGAGTGATTGTTCTGATCACGCTCAGCCAGCTTATTTGGTTGTCATCCTGGATTAATCTTGGAGGGCACGAGGTGAACTCCTTTTAGACAAAACTAAAACAGAAGATACCTAACGTGCATTGATCCCAAAGAAGCATTGAAACCATAGGAGCAGACTAGACCTGGTCCAGCAACGCTCCCTGGAAGATGCAAACTTCTGGTGCCATTACATAATTATATCCCAAACCCTGTAAAAATACAGCTTCCTCGCACGGTACGGACATTGGGTCTCCAGCACAAAAAACACTCCTACTGATTTGTATGACAGTCTATAGCACATGGAGAAGTCAGCTGCAAAACGCTAAAATCTGCTGTGCTCAAATGACTTGAGAGGAGAAAGGGAACGAGATTAGAAGGAGCCCGTATCTCCAGAGCGCTGAGAAAAAAACCACAAGCACCGTGTTCCCAAGCGCAAGTTTATCAGCCGTCATCCCCATCTGCCACCCGCCCCAATGAAACCGCCTGTGCAGACTGCTTCTGTTGCTTCACTGGAGGCGTTTGTTTGTGGTTACACCCACCTGTGCCTCTGCGATGAGAATCACACCAAAAGCACTAAGAGGAAGGAAGACAGAAGTGACCCCACTACTTCTAGACTAGAGATTCTAGTAACAGAGAGACCAGAAGACAATGCTGCAATTAAATTTGACTGAACGTTTCTCAGGATGAGGTATCCTAAAAGAACTAGTCCAGAAAACTCAACACTAAATATATTTAGCTGACAATCAGTTACATTTACATGGTGAAATTATTGGTATATTCCTTTTCAGTAATCTGTTTTTGGATTACTATCACTTTGAATTCTTTTGTACCTAAAATTCATAAGAGCAAGTCAGAACATAAATCCTTTCTTATACGGTTAGGATGTTGATTTGCATATAACCATAGCCATCCAGTTCCCTTGCTATTTATTCTCAATTTTAAATATTCGCAAAATTGCAGCCTGTTAAACTGTATTTTGAAGTAGCCGCAGCTGCGTAATTCAGCCACACGACATGTTAGCAAAGGGCGCCTTCAAAATAGTCGAGTCAATTTTAAAAACGCGCACATCTTCTTTCAAGCTTTTCCCATTCCTCTCGGAATATCCACGTGCCGGAGCCCCTGAGTGGAAGAATGCTCAATGGCTCAAGTACAACCACCTTGATTGGCACCAGCTGCGAAGCGAAACTGCCGGCACCAATCCGGAACGGCTCCCAGCCAACCACTTATTTCACATGCAACCGTCTGCTGCCAGAACGCAGCCCCGTGGCAGTTGGTGTGGCAATAACAGCTTTCTCCTACCAAACGCAAGTCTGCAGGGGTTGCTCAGAATACATTCGACACAGACGAGGTTTAGCAAAAGTGAATTACCGCTGCCGCCGAGTAGGGACTTAGGCTTGCAGAGGGCAATCTGATGAAACTGCTAAAAAACAGGAAGCTCTGGTGAGAAGGCGGCCGTTACCAGTACAAAAGACTTTTCTAAAACACACAGACAAGGTAAAGATCGGCTAGATCCGCTTCCTGGCGACAAAGGCAAACTGTAGGTGTTGGCGGCCGCCAGAGCGTTTGCTAACTGGGCAGAAATGTGGGGAAAACCTCATATGTGAGATAGACTTGCTTAGTGAATTACTGCTCTGTGCAGATAGGCATTGTTTCCTGCTTGATACCTTGACTAGAGATGGGTGAAAGAGCAACAGCAATAACATTTACACAAACACAGCCACATGTTCAGAGCTCCATAAGAAGACTCCTATATTCTAACCTAAAGCCAGTAATGCTGCGGAACTGGTTGGATGCTTCTCCCAGGGGCTGCATCCACCAGCTGATGGTGTGACTGTACATGTAAAATCCCTCCCATAACACACAAAACCCCTTTGTCTGATGCTATTCATTTTGGTAACCATTCCCGGTCAACCAGACAGGTGTCAATCAAACTAATGCCTCTCAACACAAAGCCAATCTGTCTACGGTTGCAGGGTTTGAGCCAATTTAATTTAATTTATTAGAGTTGAAAGGAACCTTTGCCTCTGTGACAATGGGTGAGACAGTTTGTAATGATTCTCATTTAATTGATGAATGTAGACTTGGCACTTGACAATTAACCAGATGCATTAAGACACTAGGGGTGAAATCCCGAGAGGATTTCACAAGCATCTACATGCTTCTAAGGTTTACTTTCCTATAGCAAGTTCATCCGCAGCTTTTCTCACTTGCGCAAAGCTGGAGCGGTTAAGCTGCGTCTCACAGAAGTCAACATCCTCCACTCAGAAACATAATCTTGCTGTGCAGGAGAAGGACCCAAGTCCCATTTCTGCTTTCAGTGTGACACTGTGCTCAAAATAGACAGCCTAATGGCAATTCTGTAATCCCACGTAGCCCTACATTACACAGACCTTTTGCAATTTATGCGCCTATGCACAAATGAGGAACATTGAAGTATGCCTTAGCCACAAAAAGCCTACATTTTACACAAGGCTGTTTCGAAGGAGAAATGTTACTCTCCCAAAACACTTTTCTTTCCTACACATTTTCCTAGAGCTGAAACTTAATTTGTTTCTATAGTTTGTCCTTTATGGTTGCCTGATTTACCAACCCACTTTGATTAGCTTTTCAGTGTTAATTAATACACATTTTCAACCCTTCTAAGCACATAATGCTCAAGGGTGGTTATTCTAGAGTCACAGATTTTAAGTCCAGGGTGCATCATTGCAGGCTTCAGCATAACCCCCTGGGATTTTACCCTTTACCCTGGGAGTGCAGTGCTGAACACCTCTCTGCTGACTGAATGAGAGCATTTTTTAAAGAAGGAAATCTAATCCTGATTTAAAGATTTAACGCGAGAGAGAAGCTAACCACATCCTGTCATAAGCTGTTTCACTGGTCAAGATCTACACTTTATTTTTAGCTTGAACTTACCCAGCTCCAGCTTCCATCCACTGAACCTTTGTTAGGACTTTGTTTTCTGAATGGTGTTATTTATAGCCTGTGACAGATCATTTCAGAATCTCCTAATTTACAAGCTAATTAGATTTTTTGTAGATATTTCTATCTCTTTCACCAAAAGAAAAGCCCCGGAGAACAGCTTTGGTTCTCTTGCTCATACTTCTACCTCTCAGCAGTTCTGATCTTCACAGAAGTTGTTCCTCGCCAGCGCAGTCCCCGCCTGATCGGGAAAAAAACTTTTGAGGCTGTCAGACCATCACTGCCCTCACCACTGCCCGCTCTGCCCATCGCCCCAACAGCACCAGCGACAGCACTGGTCGCTGCTGCCATTTTCCCATAACCTTTCCTTCAAAGCCTGGATGTTATTCGAGTGATGGCTCTGCCACTGCCATGTTTCTTCCTGTCTATCTCCTGCTTCTTCAAACCCCCTGTTAGTCCCCTCAAGCCACGTGTCCCACCAGGAGCTCATGTTCACCCATCACCTAGGAGGCCACCTTAATTCTTTGCACAATCTCTGATCTTCCCCCATCAGTCCCCATTTTAGGCAACCTATAGTTATTTGGATGTTTCTATTTTTCCTTTTAGTTATTGATACATAATTTGTCTCTTTTTTCTTCACATTAGTCCAAGGGTTTATAATTCAATGGGAACTGTTCTGAGCACTTCCATATGTGTAAGCCTAGTTAGTGTTTGTCCCTGCTCTGTCCCCTGGTGTCTGCTCTGTCCAGGAGGGTTTTAATATTGTTTTTAAAAAAAGTTTACATGTTACATTATGTAATGTAATGCTTACATTCGTTCTGACATACTTTAGATTTGCTCTCCCTCCTTCCTTCCCTCCTTTTCCCTACCCATCTCTCTGCCTGCAGCCTACGCTTTCTGCCTGCCAGCTATAAAGAGACTTCAGAATTTTAAAAATAGCTATTTAAAAGCAACAAACCAAGGCTGAAATGAAATACAGCAGGGAAGAACGGCTCTAGGGAAACTCAGTAAGTTAGAATACACCAGGGCTTTCCTGCAGGCTTTTAACGGTGATTTTTTGTAGCTGCATAGACCTAAATCTATACATTTCATTAGCTGAACCATCAGTCTGAGAGGTCTGTCCTTTATCTGAGTATAGCTAATTGCAGATTTACTTTGGGAAGAGGAATTCCAGATATAAATTAATTTAAACTAAGTTTTATCACATATTCTTCTGTTTCCATGAAATCTTACTCTCCCAAGAGTTTACAGGCTAAATCTGGATTTAGATGCCTCTGTTCAAACAAACAAACTGAACAGATTTTGCCCCATGGTATTTAATGAAAAAGAAAATGTCATGAGGCCTTTCCCTTTAGAAATAATCAGTTGAGAAAAGATTAGCAAAGATATATTTATGTTCAGACTGTCCCCTGCAGCGAGGTTAGGGGGTATGTTCATCATATAGATCAGGATTAACTCAGTTTCTGCTGTAGCACTGCAATTCTCTTCAAAATGTATAGCCACTGACCTACTTTTCAGGTGCCTTGGTGAAAGTCACTCCAAATCCTTCAAGCGTTTCAGCACCATAAAACTGTAATGCTTTGCTGGGACATAGTATCTTCCTGAAACGGCAAATAATACAAAGGTGAGTCACAAAATGGAATTTAGAACCTTAACGGTGGGCAAACAACCATACTTTTCATAATGAGCATATCCAAAGAGCAAGCTCACATGGAAGGCCCCTACTAAAACGCCCTACGGGAATTGGTCTCAAAGGGCAGCCTCTGAGTCCCCAGAGATGTTATAATCTTTGATGTTCTTCTCCTGCTCTTCTCCTTTTTGTAAGCAAGTTACTGAAAGCCTCTGGCCTTTCTTTCTCCCCCTTATTTTTTTTCTTTCTTCATGCAAAATAGCAGCTTTACTAAACCCAGGCTTACGTGTATGTAGAATTACACCAGCCACACGCTGCACAGCACAGGCTATCTCAGCTGACTATACTAATTCTTGAGGTTAAAGTAACACCAGCTTTCTCCACAGCCCTTGCTCCCTGCTCAGGCAGTTTCTCTGGAAGGCAGTGTTGGAGCATTTACCAGCCTGAGAGGGAGGTGGCGAAAGCCACAACAGGCGTGTTCATCACCTTCTGCCGCCGTTCGCATTCGTGCTTCTCAAGCTGTGCCCACAGAAGATGAAAGCTGTCAAACGAGGTTGTATAGAGCACCAGGGCTGGAGACATAGCACCAGGTCTATACACACGGACTTTTCACCCTAAAGCAAAGACAAAGGAATACCCGACTCCGATGCCAGCAGACAGAGACGTGTGAGCTTATACTAAGCAAATCCTTAATCGCTCTCCTAAACACAAGAAAGACTTCTCATAAATTAAACCCAACCAGATTATTATCTTAAGCTCTTTAAGGATTTGCTTCTGGTTTTATAATATCAGCCTCAGTAGAAAGTGGAGCAACATTTTCTGTAGCTGAGTTAGGAACTCCTGCGTATGTTATTTTACAGCAGAAGCTCAGACAGTCATTGTATCTGCTGTATCACTACTACTACAATGGTAAAATGATCTCCTGCATCACTTTAGTCCTTTTGAGGATTTGGTGAGGTTATTAGAGAGCATGTTTCTGCTTCCCTGCGCCAGCTGTACAAGGGCTGCCCCAGAAAAGGGGGCACGAACATAACACCCAGACAGTTCAAAACCCACATTGATTTGTCTTCCCCAGTAATTACACTAATATCTCTGTGGTATGGTTACACAGTATAGCCAGTGGGGAAGGGAAGAAAAAGGATCTGGTGAAAGAAAAAAGGACGTGAGTCAGCAAATTAGCTGTCACACTGTAGCTTGAAGGACACGTAGTGAACCGCATATTGTTTCTTCATCAGCTCTTTCAGATCTGGTCATCAGTTCAAGGAACTGAGAACAATATTTAAAGTAATCTGCACTTTTATAAATAATGCTGGGTGATAATTGACACAAACACTATAATAAATCAAATAGTGGTGGCACCAGCACAGCACCGAATGAGAGAGCTGAGTCTTTTGGCACTGCTATGGCACACTGGACAGTGGACACACTGTCTGCGTGTCCCTGTTGCTGTGGTTAGGGCCACCAACTATGTGAAGGAGAGAAGGACTTCTGCCCCTGTGGCATGACCCCCCACTCCCCGCATCATTCCTAGGCCCTGTCGAGGGTAACACAGCACGGGAATCCATCTGTTGGCACAGGAGAGGTGTTAGGCAGACAAGATGGAGGGGGACAACCATGGCAGATGCTAACCAGATCACCTGGGCTTATGAGCAGGGAGACTTTTCCTTCTACTACCCTACCGTATAAGCTAAAGACAGGGAGATCAGCTTTTACTGAAGCTGAAGCACCCACCTGACACCCCAGAGAAGTATCCCAGAGGATAGGTCACTGTGGATCTGCGAGCTTGCAAAGGCAGGAATGTGCTGTGCAGCCTACAGCTTTTACAACCTGGAGGGAAAAGGTGCCTGAAGATGTCAAAAAAGGGTTTTCATCTCAGGATTGTTCCAGCCAGCACAGGCAACTGACCCCCCACTTGCAGGTTGGTCCCCTGGAAGCAAGGTGGTGCTTCCAACGAAGATATTAATTTGGCTTATTTTCCTTTATGCTTGCCTTGTTACAAATAAAAGAAAAAAATAAAGTAGCAGACATTTTGAGAGTGAATGTTGCATAGTGATATAGGGTAGTATCCTCCAGTAGTTTAAAGAGACTTCAGAAAATCAAGGATTAAATGTCTTTCCTAACATTAACACTGTACTAAATCAAAAGCTTTACTCTCCCTGAATTTGAAATAGATTTAGCTATGTAACTGAGAAGATAGATAGCCTTTGAAACAGAAAGGCCTTTTTATCAAAAAGGAAATAGTTCCAGAATTTGCCTGGGGCATTTTTCCTTCCACAAGATTTGAAAAGGTGGGAAAAGAAAGTGGAAAAATCTTTCATCTAACTTATTTTAAAACACATATATTAACTTTTTGCATTTCAAATAATGACTTGTTTAAATTTGATTCTGTCTGTAATTTTTCTCCATGTAATGGATTTTGTTTGCTTCTCATTTTAAATATATCCCTGTCTTGGGGCACCTGAAGTATGCATTTAGCTCAAAATTAATTTCTGCAGTTTTAATTAATTATGATGCCTGTATTAAAACTGAACTTCAAGGTTATTTTTAAAATCCTTTTTTCTAGGTTGTAAGATACCAACAGAGAGGGGAGATATACAGAGCCATAAAAATCATTCTTGAGGTTCAAAATGTATTTATTCATTTTTTTCCAGCTCTTCCAGGCTTCTCTTCTGATTGCCTGACAACTCAAAGCCATCCGGAGAAGCCTGAATGAAAAACTATTACAGAAGTAAAAGGTGAAAGGCTGCATGGGAGCTGGACTCCTCGGTGTCACAGCTGTGTGCCAGGACTGCTCAGCTCACCTCCCTTGGACTGCTGCTGCTTTCAGAGGAGCTGATGCCCCTGTGGTCCCCCCACCTGTAGCCCTTGTGATGGTGCTTCTTGTAAGGCCGACATGCACAAGCCTGTCCCCTGCACATGGCATTTAGCCTGCCATTAACTCTGAACCTTTAATTTGACCTCCAGCTTCCTGGTAAGGGAGGTGGGAAAGGTCAACCGCTTTAGGCTGTAATCTTTCAAACCTCTTCCTAAATGCAGTCAGCTGTGAAAAAAAGTCATACATTGGTGAAGCATTTGTCATTCAAATTGAGCATTCGCCCAGACTCCTTCCACCCCCCAGGACCTGAGCACTCCCCGTGCCGGAGCCCCTCACCCGGACCGTGACCCAGGGAGACAGACCTTGTGCTTTCCCATTTGAGGTGGGAATGGTCTGCACTGCTGTGTCCGCTAACGTCTGATCTCACAGCAGGACAATTTTCACCTTGAGAAATGTAATTCACCTCCTGCACCGCCACAGCTCTCGCTCTGGACTACGACTTCAGCCCTTCTCCTTCCTGCTCTCTGCATTTTTCTGGTGTCTTTGTGAGTAATAATTAATCATTCTTAGCCTAAAGGCAAAGAAATTTTTCTCGCCTTGGCAAGAATCAACCTTTTACCTCAGCGCGTGACAGTGGCAAAGGTACTGATTTTCCTTTCAATAATTTGTCTTTCTCTTATTTTTTTGGCAAAAAGCTACTTTTGAGCATTAATGGCCACAATATGTTCAGGTTCGTTACACTTGGCAGGTGGGCTATTAATTGAAATGAGCATTAGTGAATTCAGAAAATCTATTTTACTCAGTTCCTCAGGCAGGTTTTGATTTGCTTCCAAATGCTTGTTCTATGGTCTGGCTAGACATTGGTAATGGGCTGCTCTATGGTAATGGCTTGGATTTCTTAACGTGGTTTTTTTTTGTTGTGTGTTTTTAAGAATCACTTCAGCTTCGCTGGACACAATGCAGCAGCATCTCTGTTCATCTTTAGCAATGCAAAATTGGTCCTTTATTCACCAAAGTCAACGATGTGTCCTGAACTTTGCTGCAGCAAACTGAAATTGCGTGGTTATCACATTTTTGATACAAAGAGTGGGAGCTCAGATAGACTAAGTAATTCGTAGATTCAAGCATGATGTCTGTGACTCATTAGAAGCCAGTCTGCATCCTAGTAATTACATTCAGATGGGTTTGGTTCAAACTCACTATATTGTTTCTCCTAGAAAATGAACACTATCATCCTACATGTTCTTGAATGGCAGTTTAAAAATATTGATGGAGGATTATATATCACAGCAGTCTTAATGATTTTATTTAAGGTAGTTATGCAAAAAAGAAAGAAAGAAAAAGAAAGAAAAAGGAGTTTTTAACTCTGAATGTATATTGCCATTATTTTTAATACTAGCGACCAATTTTCTGACTGAATAATTCATACCCAGATTTCTAATACTTGTGAAAAAAAAATTATCTTGATGTGATTTTCTGAACCAAAATATTTTCTCAATCAGTTACGGCCATTAGTTTTAATTTATTATTTTTGTTCTCTTTCCCAACCATCATCTACAATCAATGCTGCAGACGAATCATGAGTACCAGTTCTCCAGTTTCCTATCAGCATGCTGGAAGTCTGATTGATTAAAGTCAGTTTAAGGGTGTAAGTGTTTTCCTTTGTCCCAGTCACACCATTCCCAAAGCTAAAACTAAGTAAAGCAGTAAAAATAACCTTATTTTTCAGTACCGAGTTAAGATACAAATAACAACCAAGTGCTCCTGAATAGCAATACTGCAGCACTGTCAGCTAAAACGCTGCCATGGACACCTGCTCGCTCCCTCTAAAAATAAATTGCTGGATTGTGTCACCAGAATTGATGAGCCTAAAAAATCTAATGTCTCATGACAATAGGATTCCTGGGGAGAAAGCTGTGTGTGGAAAAGTGCCGGGCAGATGCTCCGCAGACCTGTAGCTGTGCTGCTGAAGAGTAATGGCAGCCCAGTCAAGGCACTGCGAGGCTGGCAAAGGCAGTCAGAAGCCACGGCCGGGCCACCGGAGCCCACCCCTCAGTGGAGAAGACCAGTCATTTGCTAAGGCTAATTGTGGGTCCAGGGGCTACTCGGCAGGTACAGCAGCTCCTGTAGTCTTCTCCCCTTCCTCCTTGATGGGAAGCATGGAAGTGGGCTTCCCCAGTGCTGGCATCACAAGGAATGACTTCGTCCATTTAATAAATTTCTCTCTTTTGGAGAAAGCCTGGGCCCAACATTTCTGACAGAAGATAGCTTGCTTGCCCGCAAGGCCTCAGCATTAACCAGGAGGCAGAACGAACAATGACCGCCTCAGATAAACCGGCCATGCTAGGAGCCACTTCTTTGACAGAACTATTTTACGCGCCTCAACCATAATGCGATTTGTCATTGATTTCAGAGATGCGGCATGTAGCCATCCAGGCTTTCACAGGATTTGTTTGGCCTGTAAGAAATTTCTATTAGATTATTTAATCTGTCCCCTTGCCAGTGGCAGCTTCTCACTGATGTGCTCCTTGAATGGAAGCAATGCTTTCCTACCAGCCCCCACACCTCCTTTAAAGTCCCCTTCCCATCCCTAATGGCTTGATTTCCTCAGGTCCTTTTGCTCCTTAAAGAAGTAGGACTGCACAGACCTTTTAAAAAACAGGCCAACAATGTACCTACAGAGGGGGAATTGTTATCTTTGTGGGCAGCTCCGGGCAATTGCATAATATGCTCTGTTAAGTGAGGACAAAGTCCACGTTAGACAGAG